TCTCTCTCTTCTCCCTCTCCCTTCTGCTCTCTCTCTCTCTTTTCTCCCTCCCCTCTCTTTCTCTCTCTCACACTCTCTCTATCTCACTCTCTCTTTCTCTCTCTCTCTCTCTCTCTCTCTCTCTCTCTCTCTCTCTCTCTCTCTCCCTCTTCTCTACGTCGTTCTCACTTACTATCCACCCCCCACCCCCCATCTAATCCCTCCTGTCCCCAATGACGTGAATCTATTGTCTGTCTTTAGGACGCTACATTGGCCTTGAACAAGATGCCAGTCAGTCCACCGTTGCCTTTGGCGGGTATGCTCAGAACGCTGTAGATGGAGACACTGACGGTGATGACTACCACTATTCGTGTACCCACACCACAGTCAATGAAGACTTCTCGTGGTGGGAAGTAAGTCTGAAAACGCCAGTGATACCTTCCACCTACAAGCTGTTTAACAGGAACCGTGAGTACACCTGTCTGTGGTCATGGGTTTTACTAACATGAGGATGATTATTACTATTTTGCTTGATGGGTTATTCTTAAACAGAATGTGTATCTCAAGAAAATTCTATTAAAGAAGAATTTCAATGTAAATTACTTGATTGCTCCTTGTCCCGTATCCCGTCATGGAGAGAACTGGGTAGGTTGAGGGGTCGTTTTCTTTCTGTTTGTTTTTTTAAGTATTTATTTTGTCATTTTGATAGATCTACTAAGCTGTGGGGTACTAAATGGGAAAAAATGAAGAATTCAATTTTCTAGTTGTGTTGGTAGTCTAGTGGTTAGACTGTCGAACTTGTAATTTCGAGGATGTGGGCTTGGGGATCGAGGCTCAGCTAAATTCAATGTTGTGTCTCTGGGAAAGTCACTTTACCTGAATTTCCCTCACTCCACCCAAGTCTGTAAGGATACCCGGCCACAGTCAGCGATAGATCTAGTGTGTTCGTGTTCTAATGCCTGTAAAATGGCAGCTTGCATTGTATGCTTTCCAGGAAGTCGAGATAGTTTCAGAATGTTATCAGGTCTGTTGGGAAATAATAAGGTTTTCAAGTGCAAATAGAGCTTGCTGTTGAGAGAGGTTTTCCTCTATGCAAATGCAAGCATTATTTATTATGGAAACTCAGGAAAAAAGATCCCCCAAAACCTATGATAGCAAATGAAAAAATGGATGACCTGTGACAGAATACAACTAGTGGAAGAGAGACGGCTGGCAAAATCAAATAGAGCAAAGTATAGCGGTTCTTAAAGGAGAAAAGAAAACAATATAATGTAGTAAAAAGTAAAGAAAGATAATCTTTGTCAAAATATTGAAAAGAAACAAAACAAAAAATAGCAAATACAAGCATTCCAAAATCAAAGACGTAAGTGGGGACAGTAGGACTCTCAAACACAGGCTGCCTAAGATACCCCAAAAAGGGAAATATTAAAATTTAAAAGGGCGTGTTTTACACAGATGGTCTGAATCTTAGCGTAAAAGAAACCATGCGTCCCGACAGCCCTCTCTGACAGGAATGTGTGAGGCTGGGTTCTCGCTTGCCATTCGCTCGCCGCATTGTTCGCGCAAAACTCAATTAGATCTACTCAATTAGCCTAGACCCAAGGCCTATTGTCTTACCTTGTGTGTAGTGTGTAGTAGGCCTATTAGTGTGCGTGTTCATGCATTTAACGCAACGCACTTGTTACCGGTACTTGTTGCCTATTCTTGTACCGGTACTTATACTGTAAGATTTTTTCACATTGTGTTCTAACATTATACTAAGACTAAGATAGATTTGTTTTGAATGTGTTGGCCAACAAGGTGAATATCTGACTGATAAAAAGTGTGTTTTCTTGTGTCTGCAAGGGCCATCAAGTCAAAAAGGTGTTCTATATGGATGCTCCTCAAAGTATGACAGTAAAAGAGGATCGGACTAGGACGTCTGTGTGTATTCCTTTCTTACTGACCCCAAGCAATGTAAGAAGAGGGTATAGACAGCATACCAAGGCACAACTGGAAACACAATGAAGTGACTAGACATTTGGGCGTTTGCAGTAGATCTATACACTGACCACCCGGTGCTCCTTTGATCCTGCTGTTCCTCCCAGTATTTGTCCTAGTGTACCCCCATCTACACAGCGTAATGTTGCTCATTCAAGAACAACACAAAACTCCACCAGGTACTTCAGAGGTCGGAGTATGAACATTGAAGCCGCTGACTTGCTCTTTAATGCAAACATCAGCAATTTTCGAGAAAAAGTTTGTCATTTCTTAAAAACTGCTACAACAATTGATGGTGTAGTTGCAACGAATGAGGATACAATAAAGGTTACAATCCTCAGCTCTCAGCGTAAAGGACCTATACATGGTAGCTGTATCTATATCCTATATCAAAGATAGTACAAGACAAGATGGGCCACTCAGCCTAAAAAGTGTCCGCAGGAAGTATGCTCTTTGCTTCAGATGGCGCTGCAGTCTGTTTTGAAGCTCTCTTTCGTTTTTCCAGAGGAAGAATAGGAATAGCACCTCCTTGCGTGCGCAGATCGACTGCTGTTCATCAGCAGTTCGTGTACGTTCAGTGCGGAGTTTTAGGGTTTAAAAAAAATTTTAATGACCTCTCGCCCTTCATTCTAAAGTCAAATTAAACGAAGAAAACGAACTCCTTTTCCTCCGGAAGAGGTTTTTTGTCAGCGTAACCATTTTTAAAAAGCGTTCTTCCGAAATTTATCCCAAAACTTGCTAGTTTCACTTTGATTTTTAAAAACTCAAGTAGGGTAACTCTGTTCGCAAAGAGTGCGCTTTTGTGAAGAGGGCGCCACCAAATTTTGAGGACACTTTTTTAATAGGCTCAAAGAGAGAAGTGGCCCATCTTGTCTTGTACTATCTTTGTCTATATGCACCTGTTTGCAAATGAGGGTGATTCAATTGAAGTCTTCACTTCTTTACAAATTCAGTTTCAAATCTCTGTCGAGCTCGGTTGGCTACAATCATGAGCCGATGAGTGGACACGTTTAACTTAGATCTCATTGTGTCTAAGAAAACCCTCACATGCATTGCCAACATCTTCCTGAAAAGATTTGCCTTTCAGAACAGCAGCAACAGTCAAGACTGTGGATCGAGTAGGGAGGCAACGAAGCTCTCGTCCAAAATCAACAAAGGCAGCACAGCATTAGAGTGGATTGTGGGACCTATAAACTATAAAGGAGACAAATGCTTTTTCCAATCTATTTGAGTTGCTGATTTTTTAATGAATTTATCTATTATCTATTTTGCTATTCAAAAGGCTTTTAATGGCGGCATCGATCGACATGCGGTTTTCGCCAGAAAATTCTTTTAAATATTCTCCAGATCATGACGCCCTTGGTTTTTTTCAGTTTTGAGACAGTTTTGTTGCAAAAAGCTAAATTTCTTTATTTCGATGATTGCTTTTGTAGGCCGACGCTTCTGTCTCTGTAATTTTAGAAAATCCGGAAGTGATATTTCGCGAGGCGCATTTTGTTTTGAGAGTATAGACCTTCTCATTTTTGCATCTCTCTAGATTTATTGCTCCATTCCAGTAGAGTGTAAATATAGTAGGCCAACAACTTTTGGTGGCTTTTAGTTAATATTAAAGCACCGATCATTCCTTTCATCGAAAGGGGGCCCAGCTAGTTTGATTTATTTATGTATCTATTTCGTTATTTTTCTCGTTTAATTAAATGTCTTTCTTACACAAGCTTACTATGGTTTTGATGAAAAAGTAGGCCTATTCAACAGACAAATACTCGATACGGTACCTTTCACAGGAGGCTGCCCAGTTTGACATAGGCCCAGTTTGTAACAATTTCATTTAAGTATGTAGATCTAAGTATTGATGAAAGTAATAATTACAGCCCTATAACACTGCAGTCGTAACTTAAGTTTTTAAAAAATATTTTCCACTTTCAAATTGGTATTGTAAAGATGCCCCCTTTTTATATATCAGTTCAGTTTGTGTCGTTCATATTTCTTTCCTTTTGTGTATGCAAATCAAAGCAAATTACTCCGTAAAATTTGAACAAGGAATGTTCTTCGTTAAAAACAGTAGAAAATTAAAATTCAATTCTTACCACCAATCAATCATTCATTTACTCTTATTGAGAGTGTCGGTGATAACTTCTATCATTCAGGGCAAGCCAATTATTCTGTATTTTCTTACATGTTTCCAGCAAACTAAAACACCTTCATGGTTTATCACACCAAAGAAACTGAAGCCCAGCTCACATAATATTCTATAGACTATAATACCAGAAAGTGGTGGTCACTTTCTGCTCTACAGACAATCGATCAATGTAAAAATCATGCTTGTCTTTTGTGGCATATTCAGTTTGTTTTTCCATTGGCTAGATCTATGTTTTCTTTCCGATCAACGCCAAGCAGTACTACAACATCTCTAATGTTTATCTTCAAGTATTCCCTATATTTTTGGTTTACCAGCAAACATTGTAGTTATAGGCCTATTGCTGAAAAACATTTTTCGTTTTGTCACTCACATATCTAGATTCAAGATCAAGATCTAAGATCTGTATTTTTCCTTTGTTTCATGTTTCTCACCAACCGGATAGATTTTAAGCCCATTCATGGTCTGCGACATCCTGAATAAGGAAGGGGTGGGGTATTAAATGATCAGCGTTTGAACGTTGACGATGATAATTCACCCCCAAGTACATGTAATTGGAGGCAATGTATCGGATGTTCTATATTGATTAGTGCTAACCTATAAAGTTTGTGTGTGTGTGTATGTGTGTGTGTGTGAGAGAGAGAGAGAGAGAGAGAGAGAGAAAGAGAGAGAGAGAGAGAGAGAGAGAGAGAGAGGGGGGGTAGAAGGGGAGAGGGTGGGTGTGTTTCTCTACCGTTTGCCTTTCGTTGCGTGCATAGCCGCATGCACACTAAGACTGCTAGTCAGCCCTCCAGTTTAGTCGCGCCGCGAGCGGGTACACTGCATGGTTTCTTGTACGCTAAAGTCTGGATACATTAATGAATATTGTTTATTGATAAAAGAGGAGCAAAAATACGTAATAAAGAAAGAAAAAGATCTCTAGTTCTGAAAAAAACAACTAGATACCGTTAAGAAAATGGAATGTGGAAAGGCCTCACGACCAGATAATAGTCTAGTCGATGTGATTTTTAACATTGCAAGTATTGAGTACCAAAATAAATGACGAAAAACTTAAATTTCGTCCGAGACAGTAGTAAGATTCCATAACGATTTGATCACGTCAGTCTTTACAGCGTTGCTTAATTAATTCCCCCACGTTATGCAAAGCGTGATTTTCATAGGATAATAAACCTTAGATCATTTGACACATATTAACAATATATCCATTAATTATGGAATGAATGAGAAACATTTTCAAAATTAGAGATATCTAAAGCACAATGTGTCTTTGTTCCTGACACGAGTACCCGGAATGTTATTTCACCCTAATCATGTAAATGGGAAGGTGTATTGAAGCAGAGAAAGATCTACAGTTATATTTCATTTTTAAAGGCTCCTAAGAAGAAGAAGAAGAAGAAGAAGAAGAAGAAGAAGAAGAAGAAGAAGAAGAA